TTGCTCAGGCTAGTCTTGAACTCCTGAGCTCAAGCAGTCCACCCTCCTCAGCCTTCCAAGGGCTGGGATTAAAGGTGTGAACCACCCTCCCTGGCCCAGTAAATGCTACTCTTGATAAATATAGTCATACAGCTTTGTTTCACAGGTTGGAGAAGAATGTCTACCAATTCAACATGATAGCTTTGGAATCTTCCTGTCTTGGCTTGGATTTCAGCTCTGCCCATCCCTCTTTAAATGGATGCCTCCATAGGTATAAAATGGGAATAAATATAATAATACCTAAGGGTAAATCCCCAGTTTTGGAACTAACCTGATAAGAAATCCTTATGGCTCTTGTGCAACCATCCTCCTTTTACACTGCATTTTAATGTCAAACCTATCTAAATGTTTGCTCTTATGTTGGCCATCCATGTCAGTGGTGTTAGAACCTTGGGGTTTCCCCTAGCAAATAGTTTCATTACTCTTTCTTTGTTTGTTCTTCTATTGCTCATAGCCTGAAATCTTTTGATATTACTAAAATGTTGTTTGCATTTCTCTTTTTCTTTTTTTGCTATGAACGGTAGAGGTCTTAAGTATACAGTTTGAGTTTTGATGAATATACATACTTATGAAGCCTTCATCCAGGCCAATACCTACATAGTATATTTCTTTACCCCAGGAAGGTCTCTCCTGCCCCTCTCCAATCTCCCACCTCCATCACTTTCATATTTCTAGAGCTTAGATTAGTTCTTGGAGTTAATATAAATAACATTTTGGGTCTGGTTTTCATTTACAATGTAATATTGCTTGTAATAATAGTTTTCCTTTTTATTGCCAAGGGATATTCCATTGTATGAATATACCACGATTTGATAATCCATTCTCCTGTTGATGATATTAGGGTTGTTCTCAGTATTTGGCTCTTGAAATAAAGCTGTTGCGAGCCGCCTTTTCATTTTATCTCTCTGGATATGCTTTGTGGTTATCATCTCCTTTATTTCTTAGCCTTGCAATCCAGAGCAAGCATCTTAATCTCTCTGCCTCAGTTTCTTCACCTGTAAAATGGGAAGTTGGGAAATCGTTCAGGGTTGGGACCACTATTTTTAAAAAAATGAAACAACAGAAATGTAGAATGACAGACATGGAACATGTATTTATAGTTCTATGTCTGAGATACCAGCAGAATGTTAATCACTTTCATAATACTTGGTACTGGCTAAGCACTATTTTAAAAGTTTTCCATATGAAATCATATATTCCTCACAACCATCCTATGAAATACATTATTATGCCCATTTTATAGATGGAAAAGCTGAGATATGAGTAATACCACTTGCCCAACCAAGATCATAAAGCTGAAAGAAAGGGCCATAATTTGAACCTAGGGTAGTGCAAGTCTAGATTCTGTGCTCTAAATCACTATTCTTGGGGAAACAAAGAGGCAAGTGAAGTAAATCCAAGTGTGTGTGCAAATGTAAATTAATATCTAATCAGTGTCATACTCACACCTTTCATTCCAGATATGAGAAATGAGTGTTGGACGTCGAAGAATAAAATTGTTGGGTATCCTGATGATGGCAAATGTCTTCATTTATTTGATTGTGGAAGTCTCCAAAAGCAGTAGCCAAGAAAAAAATGGAAAAGGAGAAGTAATAATACCCAAAGAGAAGTTCTGGAAGATATCTACCCCTCCCCAGGCATACTGGAACAGAGAACAAGAGAAGCTGAACAGGCAGTACAATCCCATCTTGAGCATGTTGCCCAACCAGACAGGGGAAGTGTATGGATTTTCCAACATAAGCCATCTGAATTACTGTGAACCTGACCAGAGGGTCACGTCCGTTGTTACAGGTTTTAACAATCTGCCGGACAGATTTAAAGACTTTCTGCTGTATTTGAGATGCCGCAACTATTCAGTGCTTATAGATCAGCCGCATAAGTGTGCAAAGAAACCATTCTTACTGCTGGCGATTAAGTCCCTCACTGCACATTTTGCCAGGAGGCAAGCAATTAGGGAGTCCTGGGGCAAAGAAAGCAACGTGGGAAACCAAACAGTGGTGCGCGTCTTCTTACTGGGCCAGACTCCCCCAGAAGACAACCACCCTGACCTTTCAGATATGCTGAAATTTGAGAGTGAGAAGCACCAAGACATTCTTATGTGGAGCTACAGAGACACTTTCTTCAACTTGTCTCTGAAGGAAGTGCTGTTTCTCAGGTGGGTAAGTACTTCCTGTCCAGACGCTGAGTTCATCTTCAAGGGCGATGATGATGTGTTTGTGAACACCCATCACATCCTGAATTACTTGAATAGCTTATCTAAGAACAAAGCCAAAGATTTGTTCATAGGTGATGTGATCCACAATGCTGGACCCCACCGGGATAAGAAACTGAAGTACTACATCCCGGAAGTTGTTTACTCTGGTGTCTACCCACCCTATGCTGGGGGAGGGGGATTCCTCTACTCCGGCCACCTGGCCCTGAGGCTGTACAATGTCACCGACCGGGTCCACCTCTACCCCAT